AGCCACAGGGGGGCACCAGTGACAAAAACTGTTATTGTGTCCCTAGGCAAGACACTTCACACACATTTCCCAGTGTGAATGTGGTGTGTGCTGCGGTTGCAGCTGCTTCACACTCGGGTCAAACCACCTCAGTGCTGCAAGTCCTGGTCTGATGAAGCCAACAGGACAACATCATCTGCAAACAGCAGAGACGAGATCCTGTGGTCCCCAAACCAAACCCTCCGGCCCCTGACTGCACCTAGAAATTCTTTCCATAAATACAATGAACAGAACCGGTGACTGTAGTGTGTGTGTGTCTCTGTTGTGTGTGTGTGTCTCTGTTGTGTGTGTGTGTCTCTGTTGTGTGTTTGTGTCTCTGTAGTGTGTGTGTGTGTCTCTGTAGTGTGTGTGTGTGTTTGTGTGTCTGTGTGTGTCTCTGTGTGTGTGTGTGTGTGTGTGTGTGTCTCTGTAGTGTGTGTGTGTGTGTGTGTGTGTGTGTGTGTGTCTCTGTGTGTGTGTGTGTGTGTGTGTCTGTGTGTGTGTGTGTGTGTGTGTCTGTGTGCGTCTCTGTAGTGTGTCTGTATCTCTGTAGTGTGTGTGTGTGTGTGTGTGTGTCTCTGTGTGTGTGTGTGTGTGTGTTCTCTGTGTGTGTGTGTGTGTGTGTGTGTCTGTGTGTGTCTCTGTAGTGTGTGTGTGTGTGTGTGTCTGTGTGTGTCTCTGTGTGTGTGTGTGTGTGTGTCTGTGTGTGTGTGTGTGTGTGTGTCTGTGTGTCTCTGTAGTGTGTGTGTGTGTGTGTGTCTGTGTGTGTCTCTGTAGTGTGTGTGTGTCTCTGTGTGTGTCTGTGTGTGTGTGTGTGTGTGTGTGTGTGTGTGTGTCTCGTGTGTGTGTGTGTGTGTGTGTGTGTGTGTGTGTCTGTGTGTGTCTCTGTAGTGTGTGTGTGTGTGTGTCTCTGTAGTGTGTGTCTGTGTGTGTGTGTGTGTGTGTCTCTGTAGTGTGTGTGTGTGTGTCTGTGTGTGTGTGTGTCTGTGTGTGTGTGTGTGTGTGTCTCTGTAGTGTGTGTGTGTGTGTGTGTGTGTGTGTGTGTGTGTGTGTGTGTGTGTGTGTGTGTGTGTGTGTGGCTCCAGGTCACTGGGCGTCCTCAGAAGGTTCACACTGAGTGTGTATGATTGGGTTTTTTCAGTGTCCTGGTTTGTTCATGGTTTGTGTAAACACAGTGTCCCAGTTTCAGTGTCCGGTTATTAGAACCCGAGATACTGCAGCTGGTTTATTCCGACAGTAAGTGGGACACTGTGGCATGTAAACGCAGTATCCCGGTTACTACTACATGAAGTCGAGTGTGCATGATATGGAGTAAGAAAGCTGTCAAAAATATTCGTGTGCATAGAATAGAAATCCGTGCATATTTGTCTGTAGTTGCGCATAAAATAAATATTTGTAAACTCTCAAATGAGTCCAGTCGTACATAAAATATATTGTGTGCAGTTTATCATCAGAATATTAATTGAAAAGTTACCACGTCAAGAATTACAATAATCAAATGAAAATGTACGATTACACTTTCATCAGCACGAACACGAATTCACAGACGGGACTTTACCATCAAAAACACGTCATCACTTCACAGACATTATTCATCGAGAGCAGAAGAAAGGCAAGGCAAGGCAAGTTTATTTGTACAGCACAATTCGTACACAAAGTAATTCAAAGTGCTTTACAGAATAAGAAATACATTAAAATCATAATAAAAACAAATCAAAACATAAATAATCATGAAGATTAAAATTAAAAAAGAGAGACATAAATTGGAGAGAAGAGTGCAGAATGAAAACCTTTCAGTTATTTGCACAGTCAAACAGAAATGTTTTGAGTCTGGATTTAAACAGCGTCACAGAAGAGTCTGTCTCACATGTTCAGACTGTTCCAGGTTTTAGCTGCATGAACCTGAAACGCTGACTCCCCTTGTTTAGTCGTGACTCTGGGCACCAGCAGGAGGCCGGTCCCTGAGGTCCTCAGAGTGCGAGATGTTCATATGACACTAACATGTCACAGATGTACTTTGGTGCTCGGCCATGGAGACACTTGTACAAGCAGAGCTGCTTTAAAGTCTCTGAGGCACAGGAAGCCAGGTGCAGAGACCTGAGCACAGGACTTATGTGCTCGTACTTCCTAGTTCGAGTCAGGACCCGAGCTGCAGCGTTCTGGATGTTCTGCAGCGTCTCACAGCTCGTTTGGAGAGACCAGTGAGCAGAACATTACAGTGTCTAACCTACTGGAGACAAATGCATGGATAAGTTTCTCCAAGTCTGATTTAGACAGTAAACCTTTGATTTTTGCTATGTTTTTTAGATGGTAAAAGGCGGCAGATGTTATTGATTTTTATGTGACTGTTAAAGTTCAAGTCTGAGTCCATTATTACCCCTAGATTTCTTGCCTGATTTGAAGGTTTTAGAGAGAGAGACTTGAGGTGACTGCTGACACTGTCCCTTTGTTTCTGTGGACCAAACACTATGACTTCAGTCTTGTCAGAGTTTAGCTGGAGAAAGTTGTTTTGCATCCACACACTGATCTGTTGGATGCAGTGACCAAGTGACTCCACTGGTCCATAGTCTCCTGCTGCCAGAGAGACGTAGATCTGAGTGTCGTCTGCATAATTGTGGTAACATCGATCAAGATCAAGACTGTGCATGTTTCAGTTTGTAGCAGAGTAAAAACAGAGTAATGACACAACAAGGAGCTACAACAACTGAACAACAAGTGGGTTCATTCAAATTTATTGTAAAAATGTCTTGTCTTGTCACATTGAATTCGTAAACTGAACGCTGCTGTGTGATATTATGTAGAAACACCTCGTCTGAATGGGAAACTGCACCTACATCTAAGTAGAAACAGAGTGGAGCCAGTTGGTGAACATCAGACGTAACATTATCCCAGGACTAATTATCAAATATCAGGTTCTCTGTGTGTTTAGATTCAAACATTCACGGCTCCAGCCACAGCGAGCATCAGCCTGAACCTTCATCTCAGCTGCATTTCTCACATCAAATGGGACCAAAAGTTCTTCTGGACGATGAAATGTCCCAGTTTACACCAAACACCACCAAACTGTCCTGGTTACAGACGTCACAGACAATGAAATGTTACACATTACACTGTAATGCAGCTTCAGCATCAATTAATGTTCGTGTTTACAGACAACACCTTGGTATGTTTACAGGGTTATAACTCACATATAACCCATTATAACTCACATATAACCCATTATAACTCACATATAACCCATTATAATTCACATATAACCCATTATAACACATATAACCCATTATAACTCACATATAACCCATTATAACTCACATATAACCCATTATAACTCACATATAACCTATATATATTAACATATAACCCATTATAATTAACATATAACCCATTATAATTAACATATAACCCATTATAATTCACATATGACCCATTATAATTCACATATAACCCATTATAATTCATATATAACCCATTATAATTCACATATGACCCATTATAATTCACATATAACCCATTATAACTCACATATAACCCATTATAATTCACATATAACCCATTATAATTCACATATAACCCATTATAACTCACATATAACCCATTATAACTCACATATAACCTATTATAATTCACATATAACCCATTATAATTCACATATGACCCATTATAATTCATATATAACCCATTATAATTCACATATGACCCATTATAATTCATATATAACCCATTATAATTCACATATGACCCATTATAATTCACATATAATCCATTATAACTCACATATAACCCATTATAATTCACATATAACCCATTATAATTCACATATAACCCATTATAATTCACATATAACCCATTATAATTCACATATAACCCACTGTCTGTAACCAGGACAGCCTTTCTAATAAAGGCCTGTTAACTATATTTTTCCTCGTGTGATTTTTTACTTTTTCTACTTTTTTGGAGTTGCCTGGAATCCACTGTGTTTTTGTTTTGATCCTTTTTCCAAGAGCGCCCTCTATCTGCTCCTACTGATTGAAACACCTGCAGCAAACAGTCACATTTTTGTTCTTTCTGCACTAAGTGTTTGGTGTAAACTGGGACATTTCAGCGTCCAGAGGAACTTTTGGTCCCATTTCATGTAAGAAATGCAGCTGAGATGAAGCTGAGATGAAGGTTCAGACTGATGCTCGCTGTGGCTGGAGCCGTCAATGTTTTAATCTAAACATACAGAGAACACAGATGTCACTTTTTGACTCCAGTTCAGTTCGTTCTGCAAATGTCTTCATGTCACAAAACACGTCCACAGGGACATTTCTAATGTTTTTTGCTGCACTTACATTTTTTAAATTCCACTTTAAAATCAATGCGACAAAAGAACTTTGTGAAAAGCTTTTCTCTAAAACTGTGATCATGTAAATGTTCTTCTAGCGCCTCCTCTGGACTGAGGCTGCAGGTGCACACACTGAGTGCGTCACATGTACATCAGTGTCCCGTTATTCTCCATGTCCCGGTTCTGTCAGTGTTCGGGACACTGTGTTTACATGTGCGCAGACAAACCGGGACACTCATGTCCCCGTGATATGATCAAATATTCACAGGATTCTTGACATAATCTTACAAATGCACAAGTGCAAAATGAACTTAAATCAATTTAATAAACCAGGAAAAATACAAAACCTTGAGCTGCTTTAGCGTCGGAAGCTCGGGAGGTTTAACCAGCGTGAGGAGCTGTGAGAATCCCACAATCCACTGCACACATCAAACCAACACATTCTTCATTCAAATCTTCTGCATAAATAAACTCAACTTTACAACATCTAAACTATAAACACATCAGTCTGTTTGATCAGATCATTCAGCTCTGACACATTTGTTTATGTAAAACCGCATGGTTCATTTACATAAACTGTTGCGCTGATAAAAACAGCTGCTCCTTGTGTCGCTGATGTGATCAGATTCTTTTGGATTAAAAGACACGACTCAGTGGATCACGTGTGTTTTTTGTGACAGAAGAGGCGCTGATGATGCTGAGTTTGTTCTGTGTTTGTATCGTAGGAGATAGTTCATGTTTTAGTTTTTCAGTGATGTACGAGTGCAGGTTGTTCGTGTGCAGGTTCAGCGCAGCTCTTTATTTACACTCATTTCACTCGTGTGGTCACTTTATTTATGTCGGTCACTTTATTTATGTCGGTCACTTTATTTATGTCGGTCACTTTATTCATGTCGGTCACTTTATTTATGTCGGTCACTTTATTCATGTCGCTACTGTTGCAAAGAAAAAACTGGACAGTGTTTGTCTTTTGGACGCATGATGTGGAGTAAGAAAGCTTTCAAAAATATTTGTGCGCATAGAATAGAAATCGGTACGTATTTGTCTGTAGTTGTGTATAAAATAAACATTTGTAAACTCTCCAATGAGTCCAGTCGTACATAAAATATATTGTGTGTATTTTATCATCAGAATCCATCACACTGAAGGTGAAACTCTGGAAAAAAATCCTCTTGGTTTTTCGTTCTTTTCTCTCTGATCATTTGTGATGGTTCTTTTTTTGTCCATGAATCAGTGAAATTCATTTAATGACATAATCGTGTCGTCTCCACCTCAGGATCAACAGTTTTAAAACATGACGAAAAAATCATTCTGACAGTTTTTAAAGAGGAAGAGAGAAGAGAGAAGGAGGGAGGAGAAAAAAGAGAAAGAGAAGAGCGTGTTGAAGAGTTTGGTTTTGGCTTCACTGCATCAAAGTTTGAGTTTTTGCGCTGGTGTTGGAGGAAACAGACCCTTAAGAACATTTATGTCTGTGTGGTTTTTGATTCTGTTGTTTTGTTCGTACAATCCTGTTTTACACTGAAAAGCTGCAAAACGCAGATTCAGTTTGTGTGACTTCACCGCGTTACAGAACACGACACACACCAGGAAGTCGTGTTCAGGAAATGAGATTATGAAAAAGCTGTTTTTCTTCCTCTCATGTTCTAAAGTTGTTCCTCATCACAAACCTGCCTGCAGAGGTTTTAGATCCTTCATACATGTCTGGGTCATTGAGCGATCTGTCCCGGGCCCTTTTCAAACCCTCCTGACGATTAACTGTAAGATTCTGAGCAATAATCAAACCACAAACCTCCAGCAGCCAAACTCCCACACGACAACTGTCCATCAAAACACAAAAACATGACAGTGTAAAAGTGAACAAAGCAACGTGACAAACCTGATGTGACGCGCAGGAGTTTGATGAGCGGGACGCGGCTCAGTGTGACGGGACGTGAAGCTGCAGCGATTTACCGCAGAGAGCGAAGGGAGAGAGTCAAAACGAAAGTGAAACTGATCCAACACGTTCAGACGCTGTTTTAGGACCATTTATCATTTCCACAACAATAAAAGGAACATGGTGGTGATGTAAATATGTCAAGTGTCACAGTTCATCCCCCGTAGAAGTCAAAGAGAAAACAACTAAACTGCTGCTGGAGGTGAAACATGTTTCACAGAAACACTGTTAAATCCTGTGAAGTGTTGAACCAGCGCCATCTCCTGGTGCTCGCCGTCCCTGCACTTGCTGTTCCCACTCTTCCTCCCAGAGACTGGAAACATTCAGTTTCCTCCCTGTAAAGGAGAAGTCCAGACGAGGAAACGTGGAACATGAATTGAGTCATGTGTGTCTGTTTTAATGCTGCTGATTGAGCTCAAACATCTCCATGGACGTTTGTCACTTTGATTTCTGTTTGTACATTTGACTTGATTCTAAATCCCTGTACACAACGTTTACTGATACTGACACTTTAAATGACGTCAGACACTAAATCACTGTGGATTTGTCTTGTACAGTGTTGGGGAGTAACAGATTACATGTACCAGAGTAATCAGAGTACAAATGATGAGTAACTGTATTCAGTTACAGTTACTGTTTCAGTGAGTGGTAATTGGATTACAGTTACTTTGTTGAAATAAATGGATTACACAGAGAGATTTAACTGTTTACACAATTTGGGCTTTTTTTTTTTTTTTTTTTTTTTTTTTTAGGTTATTCCACTTATTGCCACTAAACCAGGACTAAACCAGGACTAAACCAGGACTAAACCAGGACTAAACCAGGTCTAAACCAGGTTTAAACCAAGTCTAAACCAGGTCTAAACCAGGACTAAACCAGGACTAAACCAAGACTAAACCAGGACTAAAACAGGACTAAACCAGGTCTAAACCAGGTCTAAACCAGGTTTAAACCAGGTCTAAACCAGGTCTAAACCAGGACTAAACCAGGACTAAACCAGGACTAAACCAGGACTAAACCAGGACTAAACCAGGTCTAAACCAGGTCTAAACCAGGACTAAACCAGGACTAAACCAGGACTAAAACCAGATCTAAACCAGGACTAAACCAGGACTAAACCAGGTCTAAACCAGGTCTAAACCAGGACTAAACCAGGTCTAAACCAGGATCTAAACCAGGACTAAACCAGGTCTAAATCAGATCTAAACCAGGTCTAAACCAAGACTAAACCAGGACTAAACCAGGACTAAACCAGGTCTAAACCAGGACTAAACCAGATCTAAACCAGGACTAAACCAGATCTAAACCAGGTCTAAACCAGGACTAAACCAGGTCTAAACCAAGACTAAACCAGGACTAAACCAGGACTAAACCAGGACTAAACCAGGTCTAAACCAGGACTAAACCAGGTCTAAACCAGATCTAAACCAGGACTAAAACCAGGACTAAACCAGGTCTAAACCAGGACTAAACCAGGACTAAACCAGGTCTAAACCAGGACTAAACCAGGACTAAACCAGGTCTAAACCAGGACTAAACCAGGACTAAACCAGAACTAAACCAGGACTAACCAGGACTATACCAGGACTAAACCAGGTCTAAACCAGGTCTCAAACAGGATTGAACAGGTCTAAATCCTGCTGTGTGGACGTGTTTCTTCGTCTTTTCTATCAATAATATTTTTAATTTGGTTCAGTAAAGTTTGGACTTTTTATTTTCTTTTATCAGATAAAACTTCTTATGTGCAGATTTCCTCGTCTTTGTTTCTCTACAGCAAATCAAGTAATCCAAAGTAATCAGATTACATTACTCACTTTAAGTAATTTAATGGATTCTGTTACAAACTACATTTTGGGGTGTGTAATCTGTAATCTGTAGGGGATTACATTTGAAAAGTAAACTTCCCAACACTGGTCTTGTATCGTTACAAAACTGAAGAAAGAGGCAGAGACGGTTCTACAGCAGCTTTAATGACGTCACAGCAGGATCCAGGCCCACTTTATTTGTACAGCACATTTCATAAACAAGAGCGTTTCCAAAGAGCTTCACACTGCAGTGTCAAACATTTAAGTGTAAAAAGTCTGCAGAATTCTGTCCAAACAAAAGGAACCAACAGAATCACAGCAGCACCCACACACACGCACAAAATCCCACAGTCTAGAAGCATCGAGGTTTCTGAAAGTCTGAGGGAGTCTGAGGGTCTGGGCGTCTGACAAAGCCTTTGTATCGTCCAATTACAAATGAATCTTTGAGCCGATAGTTTTACCCCGGGAACGTTCCGGAGCTTCTGCAGTTTGTGTCGTCAAACGGAGCGGCGTTCATCGTCCGAGGTCACGGAGCAGAACGTTTTTCACTTTAACTGCAGCGAGCGTCAAGTATGAAATGAATATCATGAGATTATTGTTCACAGTTCCCCCGTTTGATCAGAGACACGTGTGATGAGACTCAGAGAAACTGAAGCTAGTTTGAAAGTAAATACATAAAAGTAAATTTTAAAGTAAATATATCAAAGTAAAGTTTTAAAGTAAATATATAAAAGTAAAGTAAATATAGAGAGAGTCGGGCAGCAGATTGGATGAGACAAAGAGCACTTACAGTAACTTTGTTTTTGGTCTAAATCGTGATCAGTGGTGAAATATTGATGAAACTTTAACTTTTTTATGCTCAGATTGTGTTTAAATAAAACTCAGATGAAGACAGAGTTTCAGACACAGCAGTGCCTCTAGTTAGCGTCACAGTCCCAGTGGATGTTGATGACATCAGCTGCACAGATCCAATTGTTTTATCCATTTTCGCTTTTTTTTCACTCATGCTTTTGTTTGTCATTTTATTTACAGGAATAGTTTTCTCTGAACAACTGAATATTACATCTCTTAGAGTTCTGCAAACAAATCTTCATATTCTTCGTTTAATTTGTCAAGGAGAGACTCTACAGTTTCTGCCTGGTATTTCTCTTTCAGTGTTTTCAGTGTTTCTGTCTTTGTGACGGTCTTGTTTTCCCATCTGTATTTCTCGATCGAGTGGTCATGCCAGTCACATTCTCTAGGACACACAGTGCAATCTCCATCTGCATCAAATACTTCACATGTGTCCATTTCTTCGTTGTTTCTAATGGGACATGGATAATGACAGGTGACAGCACATTCCCTGCAGTTGTTGCTGTACTCTTCAGTTCCAGAGAGGTCCACCTGATCACCCACAGTCACAATGAATTCAATCTCAAAATTCTCATTTCTTCTCATCTTTGCCTTGTGGGTTTTTTTCGGAGGTTCAGTGCGTGTCCTAGAAAGAAGCACAAAAGATGGAAGGATCCGAGAAACAGGCCACTTTATTCAGCATTTTCCATTGAGAGGGATTCAGTGTTGATTACCAAGTACAACTGTCACCCCGGAACGACGCCTCTGCCCAACTCACAATGAGGGGGAGCTTTATACCACACATCTGACAAAACATTAACTTGTGGATTTAGCATATACAGCAAGAAAATGAACAATAATGCTGACCCGGTGCACTTTATCATGGGTGGGTACATGCCACGGGGTTCACATACATCAGTTTTCTGCTTCGTGGCATCTCAAAGTACAGAAAAACATGTCTTTTATAGAACTATAGATAAACATACGTGTTTTTCACCCTGTTGTCATTCCAAGGTACAAGACATTGGGTGAATCAGCATGATCAACACAGAATATTTCCCACAGCCTCATGCTCCTCTATTTGTTCACGTGTCGTCTTTATCTCTTCACGTCTTTGTAATAATAATTTCATCCAATTAAATCCAACTTTCCAGGCTCAGTTTTCTCTAAGTCACTAAAGAACCTCGTCATGTTTTTGTTTCCCATGTCCCAGAACATTTGATCCAAACTGTCTTCTTCTGCAGAGGTCTGGTTTGAGGCGAACACTGCAGAGTTGTTGAATTTGAAGTGGACTGGCAGACCCTGCTCTGTTTTAGGACATGGGACTCCAGCAGCTCTGAGGACCTCAAGAACTGGAGACATCTGAACATCTGCGAACGTCACCAGAATCTTGAGGTTCTCAGACACATCTTTCCCTAACCTGGAGTGGAATGAGTGTAAGACGTGACACAGGGTTGAAGGGAGTTGAGGTAAACACGACTGGACCACTACACAGACTGTATGAATCTTTCTGATGTTCAACTTATTGAAGGGTTCAAAGATCAGCTTCAGCCACAGTAAGTTTCCCATGAAGCTTATAAAGTCTTTAAGCTCTGGAGTGTCGATGATGGTGAGTGAGAAGTCGACCTGGAATCCCTCCTGGTGGTTTATTTGATACATCACTGTCCTAGAAGTCTCATCCTCATTTATTTTAAACCGAAACGGGTCGGTCCATCTGACTCCCAGGATGTAGTTGATCATGGCATTGATGAGATTGATCTTCCCAGATCCCACAGGTCCGAGAAGGATCATGATACGATTTTCTTTATGACTTTCTTTTCCAAACACATATTTTCTGACATCAGCAGTGCTCAGTTCTTCTGCTTTTAGACCAAGTTTGTAGATTTCTGGTGTTCCAGACTTGATTTTGACAGAGTCTTTTACGATGAGTTCTGCTGCATGATGTTTTGGTGGTGATGGTCACAGTGGAGCTTTCTGATTCTCTCCACAGTCACAGAAGATCCTGAGGATGTACTCTGTCTGAGGCTTAAGTCCAGAGATCACCTTCTCCTCAGAATGGGACTCTTCTCTCCTCCACTGGAGTGTGTCTCCGGTCTCAGCGTACTCCACGATGTATCTGAGGACGCCTGGTCCCACCTGTGCAGTCTCCTCCAGCAGCGGCGTAGATCGGAGGGGTCTTCTGGAGGGCCGCAGGGTAAGGTTTTCATGGAGGTGTGAGGAGCAGCTGGACCTACTCCCGCCTCAGTGACGGCTCTCACTGTGAAGCTGTACTCTGTGTTTGGGATCAGGCCTGTCACTGTGACCTCTCCAGCTTCAGCCTGGAGCTGCTGCTTCCACTGCT